TGAAGGGAGACGTCGGACAGGGCAAGATATGACAAAATACCAATTTATAAACTATCAAGGGCTCATGCGGGAGGGGGGAGCGGGGAGGGAGGGGAAAAATGAGGACCTAATGTCGGGGGTTTAAATGGAGAGAAAATGTTTTGAGAAATGATGTACAAATGCGCTTTACACAATTGATGTGTGTATGGATTGGGATAACAGTTGTATGAGCCCCTAATAAAATGTTAAAAAAAAAAAAAAGAAACGGTTTTCTAACAAAGTAAGTTTGCTAAAAGATTTCAAAAGTTAACAAACAGGAGTGAGGAATGTATTAACCCACCACAATTAACCCCAATGCAACCATATTATATTAATTAGCCTGAGGATAGCCGTTTTGTACTGACCCAAGTGTAGCCAATCTGAAGATCCTATAATTCTTCTTGTAACTGTTGTTTTTTCTAACTGCTGAGCTGTTCATTGCTGATAATGTGTCAAAACCGTTGCTCCTAGTTCCCCCTCTCCCCCTTCACCATACATTGAATCACCACTTGCCTCCTCTGCCTTTCTATCCAGGTTCCCCTTTTTTTCCATACAAGGTAATGCCACCTTGTCCCCTATGCCTTGTTTTTACCCTAGTATGAAAACCTCCCCTTTTGAGCACTCAGGTTCTTGGGAGAATTCGGTTCTAGCTGCCGCATGACCCCTGGCTAATAAAGGCTTACTGACTTTAATTAAAGTTGTGTGTGGGTTAATTGATCTTGCTCAGGCACAACACTTAGATGGCTGCTTGTTTGAACACAAGCCTTTAAAACCCCCAATACTATTCCAATTGATAGCCGGACACTACCTGCTTTCTTCACACTTTGCTGTAGCACCCTTATCTTCAGTGATCATTTCATAAAGTTGAGTATTGAGCAGGGCCATGTTATCAGAACTGTTCTTGGATTGGGGCTAGAGTTAAGTGGGCACACAGAATCCATCTGCTTGCCCATGGGATATGCACGACGGAGATTTACTTTGGCTGTCATATTATGACAAAATCAAAACTCCAAAAGATCAACTCTACCAATAACAGAAACAAACCAACCAGCAAACAAAACAAAGCAAAACAAAACAAAAACAAACCAAAGGCAGGAAAACAAAAACCCACTGAAACACAGAACTAAACATTGTCAACCAGCTCCCTGAGGTATAAGGCGATTGAACTGATAACACCATCAGATTTTCCAATGACACGGCTCTCATCTATGTGAGTACAGTTCCACCTTGAGCCGCAACCCATGAGTTGTCCTACACAGTTCCATCTCCCATTGGATTGAGCGCTGTTTACCCTAAGTGTGGGGATTCGTGCCAGGGGGAAACTTCCTGGATCAATTCTTCCAACCAAGACTTTAAATCTTTATGGGAGCAGACAACTTCATCTTATTCCTGAGCAGCTGGTGGTTTGAACCACCCATCCTGAGACTCCATTTCTGATTAACCTTTTTTTTTTTTTTTGCCTTCATGCAGGATGGCTTTTGACTCCAGGCCATTTGGTTCAGCTTTGTCTTGTTTTAAAATGAAGGGTGTAATTCAAGGGCATTTCTGAAACTTTTGGCCTTTAGAAAAGATGATTGATCTTTCTTTTTTTTAATTAAAACATTTTATTGGGGGCTCTTACAGCGCTTATAACATTCCATACATCAATTGTATCAAGTATATTTGTACATATGCTGCCATCATCATTTTCTAAACTTACTTTCTGTTTGAGCCCTTGATATCAGCTTCTCTTTTTTCCCTCCTTCCCCCTTCCCCCTCCACGATTATTGATCCTTCATAAATAAAAAGGACTATTGGAATCATGGAAGTGTTTTGTTGTTGCTGAAATCTTTGGGTCATGTATTACACATATGAATGCTTTGGGGCCCACGTGGAATAATTTGGCAAGAAAATGGTGGTCAATGATACAGGCCCATACCACCGGAAACGGTCTTGATTTGTAACCTCAGGCTATATATTTACAGACATAAGATGCCTGGTCTGACCAGTCAATTGAGACTAGACTTTTTTTCAAATCAGTCTACACAATTAAAAAGTCAACATGGCCCTAGAGACAATCGCAAAAATCATGGGGAAACGTAGCTATAGCTGAGTCGGCTGCAAAAGGAAATTGCATTTTCTAAAAACCCATTTTGCTTATGTTTACATATGAAACAATTCCTTTATCGCCATTACGAAGGAAAACGACTTAAGCGCCTAGTGCCACCAGCTACGCTGATGGAGCTTCAAAAAAACACCCTTCACGTCCAAAATGGCATGTTTATTTCGCTTACGCGCGTTTTCACACTTTTTGACAAAAAAATCAGTTCGCGCCCGATTCAAGACTAGGAGTTAGGCGGCGTTTTCTTCTCACGCATCCGTCAACACGGCCGCGACCAATCACAATCCGCGTGCTGGCCCCATTGGCTGTCCACTCACCAATCCGAAGCGACGTCCCAGTCCTGCACGGCCGCAAGGACGGCATCACAACATTACGCGCGTCGCAGGCCCGCCTCCCGCCCCCGCCCTATTTACGTGCGTGCCAGCGCGCGCGTCCGCGGCTGGCCAATGGGA